AACTGCTCCAACTTGCTCACTTCACTGGTGGTTGCCATCTTCAAACGGTTGTAGTTTAAAAATGATAAATCCTACACTGAAGAACTTTATATTGTGAGAACCACAAGACCCAGACCTACATTTTGATGCATAGTATGTCTCTGAATTATTAAAAATGAAGGCACAGTCGCAGTTTTGAAATTACTCTTCAAATTTGAGGTGGCTAGAGTGGAGTTTCAATGAATGTCAATGAGCGGCGTGAGTTGCAAACAAATGGTCATATTGTGAAAACTATCAGGACTATGGCTTAGCCTTGGACATTTTTAGTGGCAGCAGGGATAGCTGAACGTTTTGATATACGATTTGTGTAGGTGGGCTTGAAAATAAGGGAGTGATGGCAGTTTAGAAATCATGTCCTGATTTTTCAGCTCACACTCTAGTTTTGAATATTCTGCCATTCTTTCCTATGGGACCAATTTCACCACAAACACGCCGATATTTCGTGAACCATTCAGCGAAACGTTCCACAAAGTAAAGGCACACCAATCGGGAACAATCCGCACGTTTCGGTATATTACTGTCTATGTAGTGTAAAAACTGTGGGAGGAGTTAGGGTGGTAAATTTGGCTATAATAATAAGAATATATATGTGAGATAACAGTAAGTGGTCTTGCCATGAACACTTAATGAAGAAAAAACACAGAAGAAATGTATTTAATGTATTCATTTGTGAGAGACATGTTTACAAACATATTGTAACTTCAGTTTTTGTAATTGTATTGCAGTTTTACAGAACTATTCACAGAAGTAAATTCAGTTGGGAATGAAACACAATGCTGCTCTGTCAGTTTTGTTAGCTAGCTGTTAGTGGGATAGCATATAGATGGAGTGTATTTAATTACCACTGGGTCTTTTATTTTTTATTATAATAAGGAAATAAGGACAAAAATTTTGAAAAACAAAATATCCTTTTCTTTCTCTTATTAGGCCTGATGCACACTTGAGCTAAAAAATTCTGCTTTTAGAGGTATTTGAGCTTTTTTTCTATGCCTCTAAACACCCCTCCTTGCTCACATAGGTGTTTACAAGAGTTTAGAGACAGAAAAAGAAACATTGCTTATGTGTGACAGAGGAGCATTTTGGCAGAAAAAAAGTCTGACGCACGTTTGAACGCATGTTAACACTAGATGCTTGCTACATGCCATGCTGACTGTAAAAGCAATAATTTTTCACTCCCTGGTTGCATTCCTGCAGCCATTGAGAAATATTGTGAGAGCTGTGATTGTTCACAGCTTATCACATGGTACAAGGCTACTGTGAATGGCCTTGTACCATGTGATCTCCGATCGATCAGAGTAGTAAATAATGCCAGGAAATTACATCTTATTTACTACTGTGCATGTGATTACTAATTGGCCAAGCAGAAATCTCATGGTACTGGGGCCACCTACAGCGGCCCAGTACAACCATCCATGTTCCTCTGTGTCCGGTGGACAAAGCGGGCACAGATCGTGCCGCTGCGTGCTCCCAGGGAGCGCGCACAGGCGGCAGATGTGGAGGGACGCTGCTCCCGTCCAGCCGTTTATGTGGATGAGCTGGATCGGAAGGGGTTCATTATGTATCTAATTTATTAGTACTATTGTTCACTTCACTGTATGAGAATGAAGACATTGTATTTGTTGATATAGATATGGCAGCAGGTGGTGATATTGAAAAGGGAAGCGCAAGAATAAATTATTATTGACTTTTATGTTTAAAATATAACTTTTGAATGGACTGACCATTTAACTAGACACTGGGCCTGATTTACTGGTGTACAGTATATGTGCATAGGATCACATACAGATGTAGCACAGTCAAGCAAAATGAACCCTGTGTTCCCCTGCAGTCACAAAGCACAGTATTTCTCCTTAACTGAAACAAAAGTTAGCTGAGGCGTGCAGTTTCCAAAAAGTTCAAGGTCCAGTTCACACTACATGCGTTTCAGTTGTTTTTTTTTCTGCATCCAAAATGCACAGAAAGTAGGTTATATGGTTGCCAGTGTCATAGTTCACATCAGTGCTTGCAGTTCCAGTGCGTTCCAGTTGCAGAAAAAAAAGTAGAACATGCTGCATTTTTTCTGCACAGAACTGCACTGGATGCATTTTACTGCGTTCCAGTGCAGTTCTGCACAGAACTGCACTGGAACGCGGAAAAACGCATTGGAATGCACCAAAAATGCACTGGAACTCACATGTCCCTATTCAAATTGAAGAAAAAGAGAGAGGAGAAATTGACCTGGAATGCATAAAAAAACGCACTGGAACCCGTCAAAAACTTGCATGCAAAAATGCATATGAAACTCATCTGGACTGTGCTTCTATAGTGTGAACCGACCGTAAATAAATTAGAGATTAAATAAATTTGTATTAGGCTACATGTACACCAGCCTACCCTAACTGCGGGATAACACAAAAGTATGTAAATGCGTGTTTTGATGAATTTTTGCCCCATTTTGCATTTTCCTGCTGCCAGCAGTTAAAACTTTTTTTTCCTGAATGCAGTTCTTCTGCGTTCAGAAGCGGGAGGTTTAACCGCATGTAAACGCGCGCCGCGGCAGTTCCTAAACTCTGCTATAAGCCTATGTGTACTGTACATGAACATGTAGGCTTTTTTGGAGTTGAGTTTAGGAGCCTTGGCAAAAAAAACAACAAAAGCCCCTAAATTCGAGTTTAGGAGCTGCCAGTGTACATGAATCCTTTTGGTTTTAGTATAATTGTGTGCAAGTGCATTCATAATTTAAAATATCATAATGATGATTATTATTGTTTTAGTTGCTACTACAACCACAACTTTTATCCACAGCACTGCTCCTAAGGTCTCATGCACACTGGACATTTTACCAGCTGCTTCTAGGGGTGTCTGGCCTTTTTTTTTTTCAACGTTTAGGCTTCATGTACACGAGCCTACCCTGACCGCCGGCTGTGGGAAAACGCAAAATCGCAGTACAGCAGTTGCCACTTTTTGAGTTTTCCTGCAGTCGGCAGTCAAATCGATCCTATCCTGAACGCGATTCTTCTGCGTTCAGGAGAGGGAGGTTTAATCTCAACTAAACGCGGGAACTCCTAAACTCTTCTAAAAGCCTATGTGTACATTGAAATGGAGTTTAGGAACTTTGGCAAAAAAATGCAAAAGCTCCTAAACTCGAGTTTACTAGCTGCTCATGTACATGAAGCCTAAAACTCCCCTCCATGTTACCCTATGTGTCCATGCACAAATAATCTTTAAAAAAAAAAAAACATTGCCAGTGTGTCCAGGAGCAGCAAAGTTTTGGCAGAAAAAACCCTTGACCAGGGGCGGACTGACAACTCAAGGGGTTCCCGGGCAATAGGGGATCATGGAGCCCCTATGTCCTTGCCCACACTCAAAGCACACGCAAAAAAGCCTATAAAAGGTACCAGGGGCATTTGATGGGGCCCCCTACTGACCCCGGGCCATGGGGCAGTGCCCGAGTGCTTGAATGGTCAGTCCGCCCCTGCCCTTGACGCATCTAAATGTACCCAAAAGCGCCTAAACGCTAGGCACATTTAGCACGTGAGCATTAATTCATTTCAATGGCCAGAATAAATGAGTTAGTCTTGCCAATGAAATTAATTAATTCCCAAACGCTTAACATGGCTAAACGCGTTACAAACTTTTTTTCAAGCGTCAGGCGTTTCTTCTGCCAAAAATGATGCTGCCAGGAGGAAAGGCTTCTAGAAGAGTTAGGAAAACGACCTGTGTGCTTGAAGCCCTAGTAATGTACTGACAATGCTGACAACTCTCTTGCTGCCTGTCTTTGATTTAGGCATTCTGTATGTTAAGAACAATGACACGTATTGCCACAGTTGGCACTTTCAGTTGCTGCAGAGAAATCCAAGTGTAATAGGCCAAGAGAAAATCCTTAGGAGTCCAAAGTCTTTATTGTTCAACGTGTTACGACAAATAGAGCAGAGGATGTCCGACACGTTGCGGGGACCACACAACCCCCCTTCATCAGGGCTAGAAGTAAAGTTTAAAGTAACACACACATTTTTACAATTTTTTCTCCAACCCTGATGAAGGGGGATTGTTTGGCCCCCAAAACATGTTAGATGTCCTTTGCTGTGATTGTCATAACATGTTGAACAATAAAGACTTTGGACTCCTATGGATTTTCTTTTGGCGCTCTCTTTGACCTTTTACACTTGAATGTCTCACCTCAGGTGAATGTCCTTTTCTGGAGATTCCCCGTCTTTGTGATGAGCTTCCGAATACAGGCCAGATGGGTTTGTGTAATGACTTTGCTCGCATTTTCATAAGCTATGAAAATCCACTCTCTCTACTTACTCTGCCTGTCTACCACTACCATTTGGGCAATTGTCACAGAGAGACAGTTGGGGGACCCATCCAAATTTAGCTATGGGGCCTCATGGTTTGTAATTACGCCCCTGCTTAGCAGACCGGTGTTTTGGTAGAGCCAGCCAATCAGCAGCTGCTCCTGAACTTTGATGGTCTTGTAGATGTGTGATAACGTGACAAATTCTCCAGTATTTGTGAATAACATTGTAGGCAGACTGGAGAGAAGCCATGGATTTCAATGCTTCTTTTACTACATATGTGTTAAGGGGAGCAGGACAGGTTTAATGAGACCTCATTTTAAATCTCATAGTCTGGAATGGTTTATTTTTGTGGAAGTTACAAGTGTCTTTTAACAGCTTTCCTTTCAGCCCTGAACCATAAAATATAAAAGGTAATGAAAAACGGATGTAAAATCCCCAGGAATCCAGCATAGGAAAGTGCAGAAAAGTTACACTTCTGAGGTCTGAACTTTGTTTTGTTTTTTTTTTTTCAATCATAAAAAACTATAAAATCTACTTTTCTATTACAGTAGATTTCACCTATGTAATAGGCATTTTATTTCCCTTTAACTTACATAATAAAGTGAAGGTTTAGGGCAGGGGTATTGAATTAAAATTTAAGGAGGTTTGGTGACTAGAATGTTTTTACTGGCCGAGATCCGAATACGGTGTGCCCATGAGCGTGCCCCCTTACATTACGTGTCACCATCAGAGTGCCCCTTTACATCAGGTATCCCCATCACATCAGGTGTGCCCATCAGAGTACTCCTTTACATCAGTTGTCCCCATCAGGGGGCCCCTTTATATCAGGTATCCTCATCACATTGCCACCTTATATCAGGTATTCCCGTCAGAGTGCCCCCTTACACTCAAAGTACCCCTTTCTATCATATTTCCGCATCAGAGTGCCCCTTTACATCATATTCCCCATCAGAGTGCCCCTTTCGATCAAATGTGCCCATCAGAGTGCCCTTTCCACAGTATGTGCCTATTTTTGCCCCCAGAGTGCCCCTTAACATAAAATGGGCCCGTCAGAGTGCCGCTTAACATAAAATGTGCCCATCAGAGTGCCCCTTAACATAAAATAAGGGGCATGCTGATGGGCACATGTTATGTTAAGGGGCACACACCACCCCACCTTGCCACCAAATAGCACTGACACCAGCTGGGACTTTAATGGCCATAGCAGCCACTTTTATTTAATAAACTATAAGTAACAAAATAAATAACTAAATAAATTCCCAATATGTACAGAATAGATAACCAGTAACATATTGAATGCAGTCTCAAGGTCCTTGTAGGCAGCAAAATTTATACTTATGACCCATAAAGTAGGCCTCCAGCCGCACCTCATTGGCTCAGAGACAGAGTCAGGTACTCAATAGCTACCACAAAGGTACCAAATGTATCCAAGACTGGTCCCAACCTATTCACCTTAACTACTGCCTAGCTTGTAAGATCTTGAACCCCACCAACCGCTATGACAAAACACCCAATCCTCAGAAGTGCAAAACCCTCAACGAGAAGGAAACAAAACAATGAATACAGGGGAGGGAAGAAGGGAAGATTCCTTGATGTCAGCCATCTTCCAACTGAATTCTCCTGGGACCAACCTGCCTACCTGACTTTTTAGGTTTAGCTCTGCTTTACTTAACTTTTAAATCAATGTATTCCCCCTATTTTTCCTCAAAGACACCAACTTTTTCCATATGAAGAATCTCCAGCTTGTGTTGCTCCTACTGTGATTCACTCACATTTAAGCTGCGGAGCACGCCCTGTGCAATTAGTATTCAGTGTTGCTTTGGGGCTATATGTCCCATGATTTCTTGCCCACTTGTCGCACTGCCTGTTCATTCCCATAACACTTCCTCCTAGCAGGTGCAATGCCAAGGACCCCAGCCACAATGTGTACCTGCACACTAAGCGTACACAGAAAAAATTACCCTGACAGCAGCACGCATATCAGGGTGGCGTCAGATGTGCATACAAGGCAATGAAGCTACCCTTAGAGGAGGAAATGAGTTATAATGCACTGCAAAAGTGAATAATGCTACATAGAGAGGCAGAACATAGGTTTGCACTTTATTGTGGATTTTACTTTTAACCTATATTCATACCCATACTGAGCACTTTCCACTTTCAGTTAGACTGTGTAATGTTATTGTGTATTATGTTTACTGTGCATATATTTTATCTTGACAATCTAGTCAGCAAACGCATGACCTGTTTTGCACTTTCAACACTTGGCACTTATATATATTTTTTTGGCGGATTATTTAGCATTAGTTATCAATACCTTTCAATACAGTGCGGTCACTTTATATGTATTTTTATATCATTGCACCTACTTATTTAGTTTTTCATGTGAAGCGCTTCACCAATCTTGTTTTTTTATGTCAAACATCCTGTGGTATTGGGAATAGGTGGTAGCAGCTTGCATATATTTGGGGTTGTGTTTGTTCATACCAGTGGAGCGCAGGGGGATTATATATTTTTATAGACCATAGAAAGGGGACTGAAAATACACAGGGTGACAATGCACAATTGGGAGACAGTTGTCACCCTATAACAGGAAATGCTAGAGCATGGACCTTCATAGCAGGATCACCAAGTATTCTTTATAGTGGTTATATAGCCTAAACATTTTTTTATCTTAAAGTGTTACTAAATCCAAGACCTTGCATTGACTATATCTGGTCTCTCACAGTGCACAGAGCATGGAAATGCAATTATTGTAGTAAATATAAACTGCTAAATAATAAATACCTTCTCTAATCAGCAGTTAGAGCAGTCTTGTGACGTCTATCAGTGTCCAGCAGAGCACTGGTTAAAGCTTGTAGAAGGAGTTTTCATTCTCAGCTATGAGGCTGTCTGGACGGTGCTGATTGGCCCTGTGCTGATCACAGGCACTCTTCCAAGAAAAAAAATCTCCAGCAATACACATCAAACTGGGAATATGCAGAGTGACTCCAAGCCTCTGTTCTATCAGGAGATATATTGGGTACAGTAGAAGAAGGGGAGGATCAGAGAAGACAGAATCAAACATCTTTTTTACACAATGCGGAGGATTAACCTCTTACGTTCCGCAGTGAGTATAACAAACATTCTTTACTGCATATACAGACTGATTTTACTGGTGTGGGTTTAGTAACACTTTAATGCAATAAAAAAGGTAGTAGCATTCATCCCCTCTGGATCAATTCAGCGCTGTGTCCGACTGCCAGTCTTCTCTTCCTTCTCTCTCTCTCATTGGCTCTTGCAGCTGTCAGTCAAGTCCCCTGAGCAGAGAGCAGGGGTGGGGCCGAGCCATGCTGTGTGTGTCAATAAACGCACACCACCTGACCTGGGAGCGAGCCTGCATGTCTGCCCCCATAACAAGCACTTGCTATGGGGGCAGACACAGAAGAGGAGGGGCCAAGATCGCTGGCCGGGAACCCCAGAAGAAGAGTTTCAGGGCTGCTCTGTGCAATATCATTGTTATAACATGATTATTATATTTTTAAAAAAGTTGCCTTTAAAACCGCTTTAAAATGTGCAGTTACAATTCTTTTTCTCCAGGGAAGGGGTTTAATAACGCTGACATGGAGTAAATATACTGAAAAAGTGTGGATCCAGTCTAAAAATAAGGAAAGTTGACTTCACATTTTTGGCAAAGTATTGTTTAATAAATAGAAGAAAAGTCACCATCCCATTGTTTTTAGCAGTTCACATTCCTGTAGCAATAATTCCAATGAAACCATTTAATAGTTTTCCCAGTTGTTCTACTTTTAATAAAGAGCTGAAATCATAATAATTTTTGCAGATTCAGAAATGGATTTTTCAGTGCAAGAATTGATAAGCGGGCTCCTTTGTCTTTGGGTTTTCACAATGTAATGAAATTACAGTCTATGTTACTTTATAATAAGTATGTTCTGTTTCCTGCCTTTTAAACACAGAGGCTCCTATAATTAAAGGTTCCCGAATGAAAATAGAAATCAGTATTTATAGATAACAATCGTTTTCATTATGCCCCTGTCTCCATTCAAAGATTTGTTTAACATGGCAATGTAAAGATCGGCAATATTGTGAAAAGTGCAGAAAACCATCGCTTCCAAACCAGAAAAGGCAAATGGCTATAAAATGTGATGAAGTGACCAATCTTCTTGGATGATTACCTGCCTTTGATTGGTCACATATTTTTAAGAGTTGTCTCCAAAATTGTATGTCATAATGGTGATTTAATTCCTATCAGGCCCCGACTGGCCATAGGGCACTCCGGGTGGGCCAGGACTGCCTGGATAGGAGGGGTGGCAGGGTGTCATATAGAGGAACTGATTCGTCCATTCCCCTCCTGCAACCGCTGAATGCCCCTTCTCCTCCTCTCCCTCCTGCAGGCATTCAGTGGCTGCAGGAGACAAATGGAGCCCCACTGTCCCTCCTATCCATCTTTCTGCTGCTGCCAGTGGGTCACTGTCCTCTCTTCTGGCCACCCCTCCTCCCCGCAGCCCTGATGGATTTCTCCCTCCAATCTCCAGCTGGGGATCAGTCATGATGGAGAGCGGGGAAAGGGCCGGTAATTATGTCATTTAGTGGCCCCTTCCTTGTCAGAATGGACAGTCAGTGATTGGTACCAATCATGATTTTGTCCATTCATAACTGTGTCTGTTTTATACTTCAGTTTATGAATGAATGGGATTTTCTGTACAGAGATATTCCTGTCCATTCATTCTGTGCTGCTGATGCTGCAGAGATGGAGATTGAGAGCTGTGTCCTCAATCTCCTTTCTCTGTCTCAAAGGTGAGATGTCAGGGCTCCTAAAAACAATTGTAAACAAATAATAAAAAATAACATTGTAAAATAAAATAAAATAAAAATAATATACAATGGTAAAAAATAATAAAAAATAAAATAAAAAACTACTATCACCAGTGATGGAACAACCAGGATGGCAAAGGTTGCACTTGCGACCGGGCCCTGGCGTTCTGCCACAGGCTCCAAGGGAAGAGTTCCCAGGCTCAAGACTGCTCAGTCTGAAATGCCCGGGCCTATTTTTTTATCTCAGTCTGAGCCTGATTTATACTGATTATTTATGAGCATGGTATAAACTCCAGAGTTTTGGTAGGTAATGTTAAGCTGACAGCACCTCTGGAGTTTTTTTTTGTTTAACCAGCAGACTGAATGTAAAAAAATAAGCTCACATATTCCTGAATCCACAAAAGAGATGTGGAATGAGGAATCTCCCCGCTGTGTTCCCCCTCTCATCAGAATACATTGATCATCTCTGCAGCCATTTGCTGCAGTGTCTGATCGAATGCTGATTTTCCAGCAGGACAGTTCAACAGAAATTGGTCGTTGAAAAGAAAGGGTTACACACAGATCTAAATTTTGCCAGTTCCTGCTGAACTGTCCAAATTTCGGTTCATGTGTACTCTCTGCATGTTATCTAAGGTCAAATTGGTTGCACTGTGATTGTATATCTAACTAAAGCCAGCCATACATGGATTGAAATTTGGTCAGTTCAGAAGGAACCAGCCAAATTTTGATCTACATCAGTGGGCAGGCTGGTTATACTCAAGTCAATCCATTGATAGACATGAGTACAACCAGGGGGCGGACTGACAACTCATGGGGCCTCCGGGCAATAGGGGATCATGGGGCCCCTGTGTCCTTGCCCAAACTCAAAAAAGCCTATAAAAAAAGGTACCAGGGACATCTCATGGGGCCCCCTACTGACCCCGGGCCCTCGGGCAGTGCCCGAGTTTCCAATGGTCAATCTGCCCCTGAGTACAACCAGTCTGTCGGGTTATTTTTGTGCAGTCACTACCAATGTCTATAGCCGTGTGCATCTATATGTGGTTGCACGACTTCCCGTGGAGCAGGAAAGCACTGGACATTTTAAGGTTTATGTAAACCCTCAACTTGTAAAACAACGCATTCAGTTTAACATAGAAATGAAAGGCAAAACATTTATATATAGATATAAAAAATACATTATAAATACCTTTTTTACCTGATATGTAAGTGATCACATACCCTCTGTTCTCAGCTGCATAAGGAGATCTGGGAGTAGAAGCAGCAGTGCTGATCTTCCCAGTGAATGGCTGTGCAAGGGGTTTGTGTTAGCACAAGCGTGAGCATTGGATTAGCTCCTAACACAGCTAGAGAACTGACCAAGCTGTGCTCTCATGCATTGTGTGGTCAATTTTTAACAGGAAAGCAGAAGGACTGGCAGGAACACCAGAGATTTCACACAAAAGCAACACAAAGACAGTAGTGATGGGCCGAACACCCCCCTGTTCAGTTCGCGGTTGAACATTTGAACCTAATGAAAGTTCGACCGTGAACTTTGAACAGGGACAATTCAGTAAGTGGTATTTGACCACATCCGAGAGTATGCAGTAAGATACCACACAGCTGCTAAAATACCACGAGTTATATTATTAAGTCATGAGGTAACCCCAATGCGAAAATGTTTTAAAAAATGGCGTGGGGGTGTTAGAAATCGGTCCCCGCCCAATCCATTCCAGACCCTTATCCAAGCATGCAGCTCGGCAGGTCAGGAAAGAGGGGGGGACAAGTGCGCGCCCCCCCCTGAACCATAACAGGTTACATGCCCTCAACATGGGGGGGTGCTTTGGGGCAGATGGGCTCCCCCCCAAAGCACCTTGTCCCCGTGTTGATGGGGACAAGGGCCTCTTCCCTACAACCGTGGCTGGTGGTTGTGGGAGTCTGCGAGCAGTGGGCTTATCGAAATCTGGAAGCCCCCTTTAACAAGGGGACCTCCCAGATCCCACCCCCTCCCCTATGTGAATGAGTATGGGGTACATGGTACTGCTATTCATTCACAAAAAAAAAAGTGTAGTGTAAACGTCAATCACGATGCTCGCCGCTGACCCTACATTTTAAAAAAAAAAAATGCTCTGATCTCGACACTGGCTGACGCTGTCTAACAGCTGCGCCGGCCTGACAGTTCTTAAATACTTTGATGATGTCAAAAGGGGGAGGGGTCACCCCCAACTTCTTATGACAGCATCATGTGCTGTGATTGGCCAAAGCATTGCACCTAACCTGTGGCGAATCAAAATGCACTGCGTGCCAAACACATGAACAGTCGATGTTCGCCTCGAACATCTAGCCCAACCCTAAAAGACAGGATACTTTTTCATACATTTTTCATTCTTTCCACGTACAGGCAATCACTTCTTGCTACAACTGGTTACTTCTGTCCTTCCCCACTTGCAGTGTTGCTGCTTGTGGTGGGGTGCCCTGCAGTGTCCTCAGGTCACATGCCTGATGAAGGGGTCCTGCACACCCCCTAATGTTACAGTTTTACTCTGGATTGTGATCACTTCAATACATTTTGGACTCCATTCAAAGACCCATGGTGTGCTGGCGATGCCTTAGCCTCGTGTAAATATCGGTTCCCAACTGGCGGTTGCTGCAGCACCTACCTATTACAAAGCCATTTCCTGGAACATATGTGATGAGAATATTTTTACTGGATTACAGGCAAAGCAGGTCATACACTACGTTTTGCATTCGAATGCATGCATTTGTACAGCGAGGTGTTCAAATAGAAAAAGCTCTGTGTACACAAGCCCTGAGTCTGATTGTTCCTTCTCTATAGAAAGTGTTCCCCTTTAAATGAAAGCGATGGTGAAAACTTGAGCAGGTTTTTACAATGTCTAGCGAACAGAACTTTCCCTTCATTTGTACACCATCTTAATTTTTAACAAGTGAAGCTTATAAGTAACAGAGTGACGCGGGAGTCTAATAGCTTGTGCGGTCACGGTGTTCTGGTCCGGATCAGATATTTGCATCGCATTTCTAGCGCTTGGTTTTGCATTACAAGATGCTTAGCTGCAGGGCAACATTCCCAGCCTAGAAAGGAATTAAAAAAGTGCGTACCTAAGGCTTATAACCGTGCATGTCCAAGTACAGCGCAACTGGAGCAAGACCTCCCCATGTCCGCTCCCCGCTGAATTCCTTGATCTCAGTATCTGCTGCTAATGACTGATTTTGCGGATGCCACAGGGCTACAACAAACAGAAAGCTGTTTCAGTATTGTGACTAAATGACAGAAATGTTTGCACACTGTAACCTCTTGTGTGCCATAATGGGCTCCATTTATACCATAGCTTCCAACTGTCCTTTTAATAGCCAACGTACACATTCAGCCTTATTCATGATTAGGGATTCAGTCACACTCATCCATTTTATTGCAGTAAAATTCATGTATTTACTACATAAAATACATTTTAAATCTTGTTCATTCCTATGTGGCTGGTTACTGTATATACTCTACCACTTTGTGAGATTTCAAATTGAAGTTATCCTGCATTTTTGAGAGTTTACATTCCTTTATTTTAAGTGCACAAATGCCACAAAGACTTTGCAAACTTCCAGTTTGGAAGTGCATGGCAAGAACATTGCACTGCATAAGACCACTAGACATCCGGGGGGAAGATGGGGTGGGAGCCAAGGAGCCACAGGGACCGGTCTTGTGAGGGGAGGATCGGAGGTGTAAGCAAGTATATCTCCCTTCTCCAATCCCCTAGACCAGTGTTTCTCATCCCATTCTAATATGTAAAGACCTAATATAATAGTTTTACATAACGCTGCAACATCCATATATGTAGTGTAAGGCACACAACATTTGGAGTTGATGTATTCTAACAAAGCTAATAAACCTTTGTATGCTGGTACTGACTAGCATTCCACCATTCCTCTTCTCCTTCACTCTTCTAAATAAGTACTGATGGAGAGGGGCAAACAAAGATATAGGCGTCTGACGTCCTCCTTATCAACCAATTACATCATCGGCCAATGGCTGGCTCCACAGTGCCCAAGGTTGTAATACTGCTCTTGTTGGCTTGTTGACAATTGTTGGGAAATTTGGGGCAATTTTTAGGCATTTTGTCAAGGCACCCCTGAAGAACCGAGAAGGTACCCTGGTTGAAAAATAATGCCCTGGACAAATACAAGCCCAGAGTTGGATTTTAAGAATTCATTGACTGGTGCATTTGACCTGTACTTGACCTCCTTCTAACCTGCTTCAAGTGGTTTGCATTCTTATAGACTTGTATGGGAATGCAAAGTCCATCTTATATGAAGAGAGGCCAGTTGACAGTGCAGAAACTCTAAACTATGTATAATGTGGTTAATGAAAACGTGTGTGCACGGAGGGGGGAAATGAGGCAGGAGTAGGGTTCTCCAAAGTGAAGATGTGCTTAAAGAGGAACTTGACTCCCCCCCAGGGGCAGACTGACAACTCATGGGGCCCCCGGGCAATAGGGGATCATGGGGCCCCTGTGTCCTTGCCCAAACTCAAAAAAGCCTATGAAAAAGGTACCAGGGGCATCTCATGGGGCCCCCTACTGACCCCAGGCCCTTGGGCAGTGCCCGAGTTTCCAAATGGTCAGTCCACCCCTGCTCCCCCCGTTCATTTATTTTTTTTTATCTTATTACTTTGTCTACTGGGTTGTCCTAAAAAAATAAATACACACTCAGTGAATTCTGTTGTCCTGCTGTGATCCAATGATCCATTGCTGGACACCGGGTCATCATATTTGCTTCTGATGTCTTCATGAGCGTGAGGTCTCTTCCTAAATCAGGCAACCAGTACCCTGATAATGCACCACCAGGTCCACCTCCATCCAGCCACTGTGTCAAAGCTGATTGCTACTGTATTATATGAAGTGTATATCTCAGAAGGCTTCGGGAGATTTCATTTTGTTCAGGTGAGAATGAAGGCCAATGTTGGGTGAAGTGTAACAAAATAAAACCATTTTTTTAGGGAGGAGGATTGTGGGGATGAAAAGTGTTTTGTATGAGTGATGATCCATTTTAAGTTGTAAGTAAGGAATAATCAACAGACCTCATTGTCATCCAACCACAATTTGTGAATGATATGGCATTCAGATATCTTTTTTTAAATCACCCATACACTCCCTACTCTACAACGTTTACTGACAATACCCATTATTATTCTTTTTATTTTTTTTATTTCCACATGGAAACTGTTTAGCTTTGCTATATTTTCTTTGTAATCAGTTCCACCCTGTATATTATCACATCATCATCCAACACAGACCAAAAAAAAGCCAAAGAATGTTGTCAGCCAGGGCAGCTGGTTAAATGTTTGTATTTGCAAGAGTGGCCATGCACGGCTCAATCCTGCTCCTGAGCCAATTTAGGCGTACACTCCATTTTTTTTTTCCTTTTTAATTAGGCAGTATAGAATGCTTTGTTTATTTTGCTGGCGTTTCGGTTTTGTTGTTTTGGCTGTCTGTTTGACTGTTTGAGTAGGAAGTTTCAAGAGGAAGTCTCTGAAATGACTGCCTTTTCTACACATTTGTCCTATAGGTATTTAACACAAGATTTAGTTTCATAGGAAGAGCATCCGGGAGATATAAAGATAATCATTCAGGCAGGAAAGCCTTTTGAAAAGTGACACTGAATAATGATTACTGTATGTCTGTTATTACATGCAAAGCTGCGGAAAGTGCCTGTTGTTCTGTAATGTGTAAACAGGATTTGTCCTGTCCATATACTTCATATGATGGTTGTTGGGGCGTAATCTGGAAAATGAACTTTTTGTTTGCCTGAATCATGGTAGAAGAATGTGTGTGGTCTGTGTCCACTTAATTCAGTGGATCATAGGATGACGAGTTACTGTGAAAATGATTCTTCTCCTATCTACTTCTCTGAGGTTGTCTTTTGTGGTAGCAGAGGTAAAGATTACTGCTGGACCTTTGGAGCCAAGAAGACCATCTAAAGCACTGTGTGTTTATTACCATACTAAGCACTGCTTATTAGGCACTGCTTAAAGAACTCGATATAAACTCAACTGTCAACTCGATATAAAAATGCTCCCTGCAAAGATTCCGTTGCCTAAAATGTCTTCTATTTCTGATTTCCGCAGGAGTGTTGTATGCTTGGTCTCCCTTTGCCTTTTGGAGCTCTCCCTTCCAACTCCTACATCCTTAATATAAAAATGCACCGTGCAAAAGATTGCGCTACCTAAAATGCCTTCTATTTCTGATTCTTCCAGGAGTGTTGGATGCTTAGTCTCCTTTTGCTGTCTGGAGTTCTTACTTCCAACCCCTACATCCTTGATATAAAAATGTTCCCTGCAAAAGATTCTGTTCCCCCAAAATGCCTTCTATTTCCAAAGCGTTGAGGTGTTGGAAGCTTGGTCAACGTTTGCTCTCTGGAGCTCTTCCTTCCAACCCCTCAATCCTTTATGTAAAAACAATCTCTGCTACAGATTCCACTGCCAAAAATGCCTTCTATTTCCCACACTTCCAGAAGTGTTGGATATTTGGTCCTCCATTGCTTTCAGGGGCTCTTCCTTCCAACCCCTACATTACTTCAAGACAAGGGCCATTAGAAGGATTCATAGCAGGCAGGGATCAACACACCTAGAAGTGTGTCAGATGCTGAAATGTCTGCAGGCAGAGATATGTTTATAACAGAGAAGAGAACAGCAGCATGAACAGCAGGACAGGTAAGTGTTAATGGACTAGAAATAAGTCATATATAATTATGAATTCCATGTAGTCCTCCCTTTTAAGCCCAAAATGTACCCTTGCAGTAGACCTCAACCCCCCCCCCCCCCCCCCACAGGGGTAAATACTTGTTAGGTCTAGGAGAGCTAAAGGAGGTGAATTACTTACTTTACCCCCTCTCTCTGGACAGATCCAACATTCTTCTCTACTCCCTCCAGTGCTCTGGCTGTCCAATAGTTTTTAAACAAATCACCTGTGCAGAATCAGTGAACACAAACCGTGTCTCTGATCTGACTCCCCAAGACCCAGTTATCCCCCCATTGGATGCTGCCATCTTGTCTCTAGCACAGTGTAGAAAAGGTGAAGCTGGGTTGTCAATCAGACGACATGTCAAAATGCTTCTGCCTTTCCTGTGATGTCACTGCTCTCTGCATACGCATTGCGAGATGGAAATGATGGTTTAGCGGCTGACATTATACAAAATTTAGCAATTTTTATTTTCATAATAGTGCTATGTAGTTTTCTTAGGCAGTACCTTTGAGGAAAGAAGCTTTGAGGCTAAATATTTGGGAAAATATGTGCTTCTGAGACAGCAGATGATTTATGTGGATCATGAAGGTACAGTGATGTCTTAATACAATATACAGGCAATGGAAGATACTCCCCTGGCCAAGATTTGAACTTTGAATTTGAAGGACCCCAGTGCTGCAAGTCATACACTAAATGCTAATCACTAAGCCACTGTGCTGCCCAACATACAGATATAATCAGTTTAATACCCTAATTATATCTGTTGAACAACCAAAATGTTTTGTAATTATTTCTTCAGCACTTATTATAAACGGTGTTTGTTTCCGCATCAAGGCTACTCCCAGCGTAAGTGAGCAGTCTTTGATTGTCCTAGATCTGTTCCAGTTTGGCTATGTTTAGACATGAGGATGTTATTGCTGCACCTCTAAAAAACAATCCATATTCTGCAGTTGATTGCTTTTCAGAGGTGTTTGCCAGGCGCTGAGAAGTCTAAATGCTTCACTACTGTGCCACAGCTGTATGCAGTTCATGCAGTTGCACGTCTGTTGTGCCCCATTTGCTTGAATGGATTGCATTTGGCAGCAGTACTGCTTGCTGAATGTGACAGGGGTGCAATCTTGGTTGCTAAACATCATAGCTGGCTGCCTTTGATTCTTAATAAGGGGGGAGGCAAGTCTAATTGAGCCCTTAGGTCTCTTTCAGATTGGCAGTTGGGGGGCTTTGAAAATGAGTGGCTGAGCCACGGTTCTACTGCCCCCTGGCGGCCCACCCAAAGTGACAAAATACAGCCAAGTGGGGCTGTACACTTGCCGTAGCTGTGATGCTTTGCTTCAAGGCCATAGCATTTTTAACATGAACAGTAACTGAATCTGATTGGATAAAGTCACTGTTCTGCCAATAATATTCCACCCAGCTCCTCTGATTTTGCAATCAAAGTTTGTCAAGCTAGCATAGTTGGCTAAATCAGCTGAATATTTGAGCATGTATGGCTAGCATTAGTCATCTAAGTAGTGTAAATCCGAGTGGGAAGAAGGTCTCATTGGTAATAAGGAGAATCATGAAAGGGTATTCTCTTCCACCGTGTATCATGAAGGGGGTCAACGGAAAGATTTCAGCAAAACCATTACCATATTTTTCGCTCCATAAGACGCACCTGACCATAAGACGCGCCTAGGTTTTAGAGGAAAAAAACAAGAAAAAAATATTCTGAACCAATTGACTGCAGACATAGTACAGGAAATGACCAGAGACTACAGATACAGTACAGGAGATGACCAGAGACTGCGGACATAGTACAGGAGATGACCAGAGACTGCGGACATAGTACAGGAGATGACCAGAGACTGCGGACATAGTACAGGAGATGACCAGAGACTGCGGACACAGTACAGGAGATGACCAGAGACTGCGGACACAGTACAGGAAATGACCAGAGACTGCGGACACAGTACAGGAAATGACCAGAGACTGCGGATACAGTACAGGAGATGACCAGAGACTGCGGACATAGTACAGGAGATGACCAGAGACTGCAGGCACAGTACAGGAGATGATCAGAGACTGCGGACACAGTACAGGGGATGACCAGAGACTGTGGACACAGTACAGGAGATGACCAGAGACTGCGGACACAGTACAGGAGATGACCAGAGACTGCGGACATACTACAGGAGGTGACCAGAGACTGCGGACACAGTACAGGAGATGACCAGAGACTGCGGACACAGTACAGGAGATGACCAGAGACTGCGGACACAGTACAGGAGATGACCAGAGACTGCGGACACAGCACAGGAGATGACCAGAGACTGCGGACACAGTACAGGAGATGACCAGAGACTGTGGATGGTACAGGGGATGATCATCAAGAGACTGCAGACGGTACAGTGGATGATCAAGGGACTGCAAACAGTACAGTGGATGATCAAGAGACTGCAGACAGTACAGGAGATGACCAGAGACTGCAGACTGTACAGGAGATGACCAGAGACTGCAGACATAGTACAGAAGATGACCAGAGACTGCGGACAGTACAGGGGATGACCAGAGACTGCGGACAGTACAGGGGATGACCAGAGACTGCAGACAGTACAGGGGATGACCAGAGACTGCAGACAGTACAGGGGATGACCAGAGACTGCAGACAGTACAGGGGATGACCAGAGACTGCAGACAGTACAAGGGATGACCAGAGACTGCGGACCTTTAGGGAGGGAGGGGCAGCGGGTACCTGAATTTGACAGGTACCCGCTCCCACTTCCGCGGAATTGTCCTCCCTTTACTGTGGGCATCCAGCTGTGACAGCCGGGTGCCCACTGCTCATGTGCGAGAAGCGCTGGACTTTGTGAATGGCCCGGCGTTTTCTGCGACCTGTCATGTGTCCCAGAAGACACCAGACC